GGCATTTGCATTGATTTGCATATTCATGAGGAACAGTCTGGGCAGTGGGGGATGAATGAGAGTTTGGCTTTGTACCTGAAGGCTGGGAGGGATCCAAAAGAGGAAGAAAGGCCCAGGGGAAGGCTTTTGGTGTGCAGAGGCCCAGCAAGACCTCTGCAAGATTAGTCCTGCCTGTGCAACCCTCAGTAGGCACACTCACACACTAGCCCACTTAAACATGCACGCACACCCTCACACTCAGGTCTCTGCTGGAGGAGCTGTGCTCTCAGCCTCTCATTAGGCTTCCTGGGGCGCAGGACGACCTCTGCGTCAGATGATGCCTTTGGCGGGGTCCTTGGGCCTCTGAGTGGGCCCTAGGCCTGGGTCCTCCAGTGAGGCAGGCCCCGGCCTCACTGATAGAAGTGAAGTCCCCGCGGGTCCTCCTGTCCACCCTCTCCCACACCTCTGCTCACCTGGGCTGAAACTGATGTCCTGTCCACCCTCTCCCGCACCTCTGCTCACCTGGGCTGAAACTGATGTCCTGTCCACCCTCTCCCGCACCTCTGCTCACCTGGGCTGAAACTGATGTCCGTGTGCGGAGAAGCCTGAGCAGAGAGTAGGGTCAGGGCAGCCGAGAGTCCCTAGAAAGCCACTTGGCATCTGGAGTGGGGCGGGGAGGCCCTTCCTTGGGCCTGGTCTCCAGGCAACAGCCGGTTTTGGGTGGTCGTGGGCAGGGAGGAAGACTGGCCACACTGGGCTCCTCCTCCTCCCCTCCTTTCACTCCTCCCGCCTCTCTGCGGGAGACAGTTCAAAGTGAAGCTTGAAGCGGCCCTAAGCCAAGCAGCTTCTGAGCACTCCAGGCGTGCGCGCTTCTCTGTGACTCCTTCTCTGTAAGTTGGACTAATACGAGAACTCACATCTCAGCGTCTTGGAGATGAAGCTTAATGGCTCCTTGGGGCAAATACCTTGAAGGTAAAATTCCAAGTCAAGTTCAAGCTGGGCCGAGGCCAGCTCACCCATGGATAAAATAGGTCTGGGTCATACTGCTTAAAAATGTATTTGTTGTCACGTCATACGATCAGGAAATTTTAGGTATATGTCCAGATGCCGTTGAAATATAAAGTTGTAAGAGACCTTTACACACCTCAGGGGAACGGAGGCAGGGAGAACAGGCGCCCCCTGCAGGCTGAGCCTGTGTGCTCCCGCTCACCGGGGGTCCTGAAGGACCCACCCAGCCCAGCCCCTGCTGAGGTAGCACGGGGTGGGGGGGGCAGGTGGGAGGTCTGCCTCCTGCAGAATCTTGGCGGTTAAAGGAGATGCAGATAGAAGGTTCTCTCTCAGCAAGGAGAAGCAATTACCATATCAGTAGTGCATAGTTGTAGTGCGTGGTTTGCTCAGATTTTAATGTTTTAAAATCTTCTGGTGCGTCCTTGGGATTTCCTTGTCTCTATGGAAATCAGTATCTCTAAAAATCAGGATTTTCTCCCCCGGCCACTAAGGGTGTCCTCAGACCAGTCACTTTGCCTCTCTGGACCTGCTGCTTCTATGGATGACAGTAACTTCCTCACCAGGATGAAATAAAACAATTTGTTGCTAATGCTTAGAGGAGATGTTGGCAAGGAGTAGGTTTTCAATAAATCATAGCAAATTTTGTTGCGATTACCACTGACTCAGTGCCAGCCTTCTCCTGGCACCCGGGCATCTTCCCTCTCTTCCAGCACACCATGCTTCCTCTCCCGAAATGCTCAGCCAGGTGCCCTGACACTTTTGGGGACTGGCATTCACAGGGAGGACTGGAAACGTGTCCCAGTCACTCGTTTTCTCTCAGGAACTCCCACTGCTGTGCCTGTGAGGAATAACTTAACTGGAGCCCACACGGTGGCTCCGCCCTGCTGGCCAGCACCAGGCTGAAAACCCGCCAGGGCCTGACTCAGGCTCCAAACGGTGCAGGCCAGCCTCAGCCTCTCGTCTAGCAGTTGTCCCAAAACTCCGTCTGGGGCACACCTCAGAAACAGGCACGTTTATTTCTTTATAAATGACAATTTATATAAGCGACAGGCATGCCCTCCTTATTGGACGAGTCTATCATGTCTGTTATAAAACTCTCCTCCCCAACACTGACATTTTCAAAGGTTGATCCAAAATGCTAATGTAGAAAAAAGTTTGGTGTGTTTTCCCTGTTCCCGATCACCTGGTGCACTGGACTTTGGGGGCCCCTGCTGTCATGGAAATCAAACACCCCTGAGCATCAACGTACGAGCTGGGGAGAAGGAAGGTGAACAGGCCAGGCTTCTGTTTTCAAAAGTTGAGCTTTTCTTGATGTGGCAAATCAACCTCCTGAAAGATCTGGATTGGTATTGTGTTGATGGGTGATGCCTACAGGTTTTGGGGATCCATCTGAGCAGGGCTGGGCAGAGACCTTGGCTTCTGTCAAGTTCTAGGGGTGCCCTGGAATTCCAAGGGTTGGAGTCCAAGAGATGAGGACTCCAGCACTGGTGGCTTTCGAATTGCTTACCACACTCATATTCCATCTCCTTCCTTTGAACTAGGGTCCTCCCTCCCGCAAGAAAGTGTGTGGGTGATCTGGCAGTTCCTTCCCCACCTCTTAGCTGGGGAGGAGGATGCTAATTAAAATGACTGGGTAACCCTGAACAGGGCACCATGGGCCCAGGTTTCTATAGAAACCAACTCGTTCCCGCACCACCAACAGCTCTCCAACATCTCGACACTTTCCCTCTCTCGTGTCCTGACACTGTCCTTGGAGATGTGGGCAGCCCTGACCTTACCCCATGCTGTCCCATCCGCAGACAAGCCCAAGGCAGTTGCAGCCACAGCCACGGAGTCTGTTCTGGGAGACGCTGCAGGAGTCCTGGCGGAGTTCCCATCGCGCGTGGGTAAGAGCTGTCAGTCTGCTTTCTGACGAGACACACCAGAAAGGGCTGCCATGATCAAGCCCCACGGACTGGGCTCAAACAATGGAGATTTGGGGTCTCCTGGTTCCGGCAGCCGGAAGTCCAAGATGCAGGTGGCTTCCCTCCGGAAGCCGTGAGGGAAGGGGCTGTTCTGGGCCTCTTGTTGACCTGGGGCGCCAGCTCCTCCTGGAGTCTCTGCATTTCAGCCTTCTCCTGTACTGGTCTGTCTCTGGGTCCTTTGGGTCCCCTTTTTATGAAAACAACAGTCTGGGATTTGGGGCCACAGTGAACTCTGGCAGGACCTTTCTGAAGGACTGGGGGTTCAGACACCAACATCTTTGTTGAAGGGGTTACAAATCAGCCCGCAACAGGCCCCAGAACCCCATGGCCCGGCTGGTGTTCCAGCTCTATCACTTGCCCCCCCCCAACCCCCATTTAACCCATTAGCATTTCGTCTCCTTCATAAAAGGAGAGGAGTAACATTCCCTGTGCAGGTCGCTGCCTGAGGGCTGCATGAGATGTTTGGCACGCCACACGGTGCTAACCAGTCCTTTCCTTATTAATGCAGATGGCAGATGACCCACCTTGTTGCCATGTGACCACCTGGATTCCACTGTGGCTGCAGTGGGCTGGTGATACATGGGGATAAGTTGCCTGGCCCAGGACACGGGCCTCAGTCTCTGCCCACACACAGAAGCCTGCTCAGCCCACAAAGGACAGGCCATGATGTGAGGAAGCCTAGGCCAGTCCACATGCAGAGACGCAGGTGGGGAGGCTGAGTCCCCAGCTGCTGGGGCCCATCAAACTCCGGACTTGTGAGCCAGCGCCCGGAGGACCCTTCTCCCAGCCCTCGGCTCTTCTAGCTCAGACCCTAGGAAGCAGGGGCCAGCCACCCGCGCCGTGCCTGGTCTCAATTCTTGACCCAGAAGATCCACGGACATATTAAACATCACCGACTTGAGTCACTGTGTGGACTGTTACACAGCAGCCATGATGGACCTGTCCCCCCACCCTCCTACCCAGTGAGCATGAAGAAAAAGATAACTCGATTGCATGGCACAAATAAATAATCTTTAATTTCAATAAATAGCTCCCCATTATACCAGACAATGTGCTGTGGGAAGAAATACAGAAGCATCCAATGGCGAGAGATCTAGTCTACCTACACTAATGCCTTAGCACGGGAAATGACTTGGGCTCACACGAAAACACAGGAAGAGCCTCAGAGCCTGACAAGGACGGGGAGGCTGGGGGTCTGGTGGCCATTTTAATCCATGGACCTGTCCTTTCATGTCTTCTGTGAGTCATCATTACCACGACTTGGTGAAAAAAAAAAACCGGACATCTGCTCTATTATTTTATTCACTCAGTACACACGCTACTGGTCCTGCAGGTGGGGGCTTGACAGACAGGAGGACGCCGGGTGAACGTTCACTGATGGGAGAGGCAGACAGGGCCCAGGATTGAGGTCCCAGTCCACGCCACACTCGCCAGGGGGTGAGCAGGCACGTATGAGCTCACCTTGAGGGCGCACCCGCGAGAACATCCACATACACACCTAAGGGGAGACTACGCTAAGACACAGACAAACCAGGGCAAGTTTCTTACGCCGGAGTAAATTTTGTGACCATTTGGTTTCTCCAAATAGTCTAATCTATCACGCCCACTAAAGAGAAGACAAAGTACTTACATTTTGGGGGAAAGTATCAGGTTTGAAGAACCCCAGGGAACCGCCATTGGTCCAGAAGTTCCCCAAAGGGCGAGCGTTTTGGGTGTGGGGGTTGGGCCTCCCACACACTCACCAAACTCCCGGGAAATTTTGTCTCCACGGAGGACGGCAACCCTTTGGGGCTGCTTCGCTGGCCTGAGGGGTGAAGTGCATTTTGGGGTGCGAGTGGCAACAAGAACGAGCACTGCCAGTAAGTCTCACAGCAGGGCCTGTTCAGCTTACAACATATGGATGGGGCTTCCAGAAAGTTCTCGGGCCTGGCTCAGGGAGGGCGGCCATTTTATGATCAGAAGTCAGTTTCAGCTCAGTTCTGAGAGGACTTGGGGTGTGTGTGTGTGTGTAGGTATGGATGTAATCGATATGTGACATTTTTTTTTTTGTTTAAACAAATGAAAACGGCCTTCCCTCAGGCCCGCTCGGGCCCCCTCAGGTCACCTCCAGCGAGGCAGGAGACACTCGGTCACACTCGGCTCGGGATCGCAGGCTGTGCCACTGCTCCACCGCCGTGCGGTGGGTGTTGAGCATCCGCCGCCAGTGGTTGGACTCCGAGGGGCCGGAAGAGTACTGGCCGATGACGATCCTTCCGATGAAAGCGTTGCTGCTTTTCATGCTGTGACCAAACACTAGGAGGCCAGAGGAGGGGGGCAGGGCGGGGGTCAGACGAGGCGGCAGAAACAAGACAGGCTCTGTTAGTTTACCTGCTCCTGACTGCAAACCCAAGGTCTGCTCTCTCTCTCTCTTTTATTTATGCACAAAGTACTGGGGTACAGGCCAGAGGTGTGTGGTGGAGGGTGAGAGGATTCACCAGAGAGAGTGGGGAGCAGAACAGGCAGATCAACTGAAATTCACTGCTGAGGGGAGCAGCCGGCCAGATCGGGGAGGTCTGCTGTGCCATGTACGGCAGCTCCCTGGCCAGGGATGGAACTCAGACAGCAGGGGCTGTGGACAGCTTCACAGTGCTGTGCTTTAATCTGCTGCACCGCCAGGGAGGGTCCCCGGGGTCTTCTCTTTTAGCGCTTTGTTTCTGCTAATGGTGAGCCTTCCCCTGACAGCCCCATCTCTTCCTTCCCCACGTCTCTCCATCCCAGTGCCCAGGGGCTCCTCTGTGCCTCTCCGTGCCAGGCATATTCCTGGCATTGGCTGCTGCTTCTGCCAAGAGCTGTGCTCCCTGCAATGTGCAGCTTAAACTCATCCCCAGGCCTCATGACACTGTCCACAGAGCATTACAGCTGGACGGTCTAGTGGATTCCTCAGTCACCACTGACACTGCTTTTGAGTGCTTGAATCAGGGTTTCCCAGTGGCTTTGCTGTTGACATTTGGGGTTGGATGATTCTTTGTCAAGGAGCTGTCCTACACACTGCAGGCTACTTCAGAGCATCCTGCTCACTATTTACTTGATGCCAATAGCTCCCCCCACCCAGTTGTCACTATCCCAGTTCTCTCCAGACAAAGCCCAGTATCCCAGGGCAGGGGTAGGGGAGCAATTCATGATGGGTGAGAATTACTGGGTTGAGCCAGGGGTCTAGGGGCCAGACGGCCTAGGTGAGCACTGGCCCCGTCATCTGACTAGCTCTGCAGCTCAGTTTCGTGGTTAGTTCAGTGCAAACCATTATAGCACTTTATCTCACGAGTCATGGTCCGTTTCGATGAGATAACAGGTATAAAGTTCTCAGCTCCCAGAAACTAGCACTTGATAAGTGCTTAATAAATGTTACACTGCTATTTCAGTCCTGAATTTCTGCCTATTGACCTTTTACAAAAGTGACCCCATGTTTCATCTGTTCCAGGCAACAGAGACCAATTTTCTGAAAGAGCTGGCCATGGCGATTTCTTCACTCCACCTTGTACTAGTCTGTCTCTTTGCAAGACTTCACTGTTAATTCCAATGCAAGCTTAATTTGTCTTTCAGGACTAATGAGATAGTTGGCTTGATTTATCTTCCCAGCCAAGTTCCACCTAATTCTTTATCTGCATGCAGGCTGTCCGGGCATGCCATCTCACTAACGGGAAAGCAGGCTGAGCCTGTGTTATAAATGAAGGGCTACCGAATGGGAAATTTCACAGATTCCCCCAGCAGGAGTCCAGCAAAGGCAGCCAGGATCCCAGGAGGGATGCCGATGATCAAATAAACCAGCTAAAATATGCAGCTGCAAACAGAGTCTGGATGCTAATGAGCCTCAGTTCTCCCCTGTGGGGTTCACATCAAGAATGCTATAAAAATGGGGGGAATTAAGAAAAGTGGAAAAACAAAAACAAGCCCCCCATCCACTATCTAAAAACCAATAAGACCCAAGGATACACCGGGCTACATGAAAACACTAGACCATCTAGATCAAAAAACACTAGACTGTCTAGATCAAGAGTCTGGTACCTGCAGCTCTGTGCACAAAAATTGGACCGTGTATATTTTTTGTAGATTTGATAAAGTGCTCAGTACACCCAGGTGGGCCTCATTTGCATGAAAAGCCCGTATGTGGGGTTGGTGGAAAAGTCATGACACATTCTCAGCAAACGACAGTAAGCGATGCATCCCCTTCTCTGTGGGCCTCAACTCTAAAGCAAGATCCCATTATAACAACATTTCAGACCCGTTTGGCTTTCTTCCTTAGGGGCAAAATATTTAGTTTTCCTCTGGCTCTCAAATGGTCAAAAGTGAAAATGCAGAAACATCTTGGTAAGACAGGTGATAGGTTTCACTTCCACGAGAAAGGAAGGAAAGGAAATTCTTTAAGAAGGGAAACCTCAAACACTTTCATACACCGGGGAGATTCACAACTCAAAATAAAAATGTCCTAACAGGAGATCCAGCAATTAATTCTATACTTCTAGAAATTTATTCCTTAAAATTAGCTGCACAAATGGACAGATATTCCTACAAGGATGTTCTCTATGGTAGCGGTTAACAACCTATAGCATTTCCAAGCCAAATCTGACCTGCTGCCTGTTCGTTTGTATATTAAGTCTGACTAGAACCCAGTCAAATCCACTTGCTTACATGTACCTATGGCTCTTTTGGTACAGCAGAAGAACACAGCTGTTAGGACTGGTCTAGCCTGGTTCTTTACAGAAAAGGTTGCTGACTCTTGTTCTAGAGCAATGTAAAAATGAAATCTCAAAAGTAACAAAAATGCCCATGAGGAAGTATAGCTGAATCTGTGGGTGCCTGGACCATCTCTTAGCCACTGCTCCTGAGGCTTGTGTCCTACCTTGATGGTCCACAGTTTTCTGCCTGGCCAGGTCAATCTAGGTTCACGATGTGATTCAGAGTGCGGACCTTGGGTCACTCAACCTCACCTTGGCCTTAGAAAGGGCTGGACCAGGGGCCTCCCTGGTGGCACAAGGGGTTAAGTCTCAGCACTATCAAGCTATTGGCAGCCACTGCAGTCAGGGAGTGACCCACATGGTGCAGCAGACCCCGCCCGTCTCCCCCGCTGCTCCCCTCAGCTGTGTATTTCAGTCCATCCCATCTGCCTTTTCTGCTCCCCACTCTGTCTCTCACCCTCACCTCTGGCCTACACCCCAGCTCTTGTATGCATAAATAAATTT